CAGGCCCCAGCATCAGGCGCGCCCCCGCGGGAAGGAGCGCGGGGGCGCTCACCCCGGGACACGCGGCCTCCGGGCGCTGCGACGGTGGCGGCCGAGAGCGCGCGCGCGCGGGCGGGCGGGCGCTAGGGGTGCGCGGGGCGCCGTGGAGCAGGTGGGCGCGGGCAGAATCGCGCCAGAGTGGGAGCAACTGTGTGCGTGTGCGTGCGTGTTAGAAAGCGAGAGACCGCGCGAGCGAGCGCTCCGGGGAGAAGGTGGGACGGGCGCGCGGGAGGAGGGGGAGTGCGCGTCTGTAGGCGTGCGCGAGCGCCTGCCCCGCGGAGTGCGCCAGAAGGGGCGTCCGGCCGGCCCAAGTCTCGGGTTGTCCGGGGGGAACGTGGAGGACCCGAGCCAAGCTCCGAACCCTCCCTCCCCGCCGCTTCCCCTCCCGGATTCGGTGACCCAAGAGCCAATCCCGGCTCCTTAACTCCTTCCTCCCCGCCCCGCAGTCTCCGGCACGCCCCTGACCCCGGCCCGCCTGGCCCCGCGGGCACTCTTCCCGCTCCGCCGCCGCCCGGGTCTTCCTCTTCCGAGGAGCGGCGCCCTCCGAAGCGGCGCCCTCGGGGACGGAGAGAGGGGCTGGGGGGGAGGGTGCGTGGCCGCAGCCGGGGGCCGCCGGCGCCCCACCTTTTCCCTCCCCTCCGACCTGGGGAAGAGGGAGAGAGGGGCTGGCCTGCGATCCGGGCAGGAAACTGTGTGTGTGAATGTGTGTGTGTCTGGGTGGGGCGGGAGGGGGACGGGTTTCTGGGAAAGGCGTTCACGCAGAAGGCGAGCCCGGAGTGCTCAGGACCCGTCCGTGGTTCCCGTCCCCTGGCCGCCCCGCCGCTTTCCAGAGTGCGCGGAGTAGCCGTGCAAGGGCGACCAGGTGGGAGGGCGGAATTTCATCTTTAGTGCCTAAATAGCTGCGGGAGCCGGCGGATGCGGGTGGGGGATGCGGGTGGGGTGGGGGAGAGGTGTGACCTCAGGGCCACTCGCTGGATTGGAGCCTGTGCTGGTCTCGTGTGGAGTAGGGCTGTTAAAACGAAGTCGGGCGCGGCGGTGGGAGATCGTGTTGGCAAGTGACATTGCAGGCGTGAACTGGGGAGAGGGTTTCGGGGCACTTGACAGTGGTGGCGGGGTGCGGTCCAGTCCGTTGTGGAATCAGTGTGCCCTCTAATGGTCAGCAGGAGTGATCGACGGTATTGCACCGCCAACCTCTCCAACGCGGCGCCTGAGCTGCAAACTTGTGTTCCGCAAGCTTTTCCAGAAACGCTCTGTGCGCGTCAAGCACCCACGAGGAGCTGAGGGCTTAAAGAAGGGTGTATGTCGTCCGTGTCTTTGAGGAGCTCTATTTGGGACAAATAGCCATAATTCAACATGCATTAAGCACTACGGGAGACAGGTGGGGTAAATTGCCAAGGGCTATTGATGAGGGCTATTAACTATTTTACTAATATATATGTATATTTAACAGTATATAAATATATGTATAGTTTATATTTTTTTTTTAATTTTTTTTGAGTTGGAGTCTCACTCTGTCGCCCTGACTGGAGTGTAGTGGCCGCTCCTGGCCACTGCAGCCTCGACCTGCTGGGCT